CCAGAATATCCTGGATGTTTTCATAGTTGTCTCTGTTCTGTTATATATTCCTTCCATTTCTAGGCCCCCAGCTATAGGTCCCTTTTCTAGAGATGATCAGAACTGGCAGTTGCTTTTGCTTATTTCTAGAGAGATGCTCTTTTTATGTAGGTACAAATGGCACGAGATACATGGTTACACACCTTACTTTTCTCACTGACCATCTTGGAGAGTGTTCCCTATCAGTACATAAAAATTCTCCTTAGTTCTTTTTATGAGCGACAAAAGTTCTACGGTACAGATGTCTTGTATTTGTTTAGCTGGTCACATATCAGTGAATATTTGTGTAGTACTACCTAAGATTAGTAGTACCTAATCTTTTGCTATACTGTAATGGAATAACTTAAAAATTAAAAACATTTTTTTAAAGGTTTTATTTATTTATTTGCCAGAGAAAGAGAGAGAGCACAATCAGGAGAAGCAGCAAGCGGAGGGAGAGCCAGAAGCAGGCTCTCTGCTGAGCAGGGAGCCTGATGTGGGACTAGATCCCAGGACCCTAGGATTATGACCTGAGCTGAAGGCAGACGCTTAACCAACTGAGGCACCCAGGCGCCCCCAAAATTTTTTTAAAATTTTAATTCAATTAATTAACATATAAAGTATTATTGGTTTCAGAGGTACAGGTCTGTGATTCATTAGTTTTCTATAATACCCAGTGCTCATTACATCACATGCCTTCCTTAATGTCCATCCCCCAGTTCTCCCATCCCTCCAGTCCCCTTCCCCTCCAGCAATCCTCAGTTTGTTTCCTATGATTAAGAGTCTCTTATGGTTTGTCTCCCTCTCTGGTTTCATCCTGTTTTATTGTCCCCTCTCTTCCCCTATGATACTCTGTTTTGTTCCTTAAATTCCTCATATGAGTGAAGTCACATTATAATTGCTTTTCTGTGATTGACTTATTTTACTTAGCATAATACCCTCTAGTTGTAATGGAGTAACTTTGTGCATATGTCCTTTTCCATATTTAGTAATCTACCCTACAGATCTGTTCTGGGGACTGGAATTGCAGGACCACAGGCTATGTGCATATTCTATTTTGTTAAATGTTTATACCAGAATTATACCTATCCACACTCTCACCAGCAATGTATAAGAGTACCTGTTCAGGGAGAATTTCTGAGTTTATTTGTTAATTTTAACTGCACTAGGTAAAAGTAATCAACTGGCTTCCTTTTACGTAATTCATCTAGGGTTGGATGAATTAAACTCAAGCCAGAGGTTCTCCACCCAAATAATAATTAGCCATGAATTTTTTTTAAGATTTTATTTATTTATTTGACAGAGAGAGAGAGAGAGAGAGAGAGATCACAAGTAGGCAGAGAGGCAGGCAGAGAGGGGGAAGCAGGCTCCCCGCTGAGCAGAGAGCCCGATGCGGGGCTCGATCCCAGGACCCTGAGATCATGACCTGAGCCGAAGGCAGAGGCCCAACCCACTGAGCCACCCAGGCGCCCCAGCCATGGATTTTTGAGAGGCAGTTTGATCTCATGCGTATCCAAATCTATATAATAGTTAGCAACATTAAGATAGGAAACAATTGCATTTTAAAAACAAACCTTTGAATGGCTTTATCACGTAATGCATTAATGATGATTAATGCATTAATGATTCTCATTAATTAATGAGAATTAATATAGACATGCATTTAATTGGGAAGGTAGATTGAATACCTTAATCATATTATTTACAACTGTTTTGGTTAAAAGTGGTTGTGAATGGGTCATTATTCATTTCTTGCGTTGGTAGGACAAACGAAAAGTAAATGGTTTTGTTAAATAACTCATCCCTATCAGTGTCTCTCTAGTGGCTGTCCTCTTTTGCAAATATGATTTCCTCTGTGGAGGTCAGCCCTGGTTTTGCTCAGAGGGAGCTACTCGTCTCTTGTTCTGTGTGTCAGTGTGGTCTGACAGCGGTCCCCAGGACCTGGCCAGTGATACTGATGTCACATTACTTGAGCGTATCCTTGAGGTAGCCATGCAACCAGATTCCACTTCAGGGCTGTTTCTGCGAGCTCTGTGGTAATTGCATTTGTAGTCTGAGGACATCTGTTTCCAGCAGATCGGCGCAGTGCTTCGAAACCCTGAAGCACTTAATCAGAGCACAGAGGGAGGGGCCGTCCCTAAGGCCTTGTGCCTGGCTCCCCAGGGCTGCACTTCATGTGAGAAACAACACGGACTTCATGCGGCTGAAACGTGTCCAGAAACGAAATCTGGCCTGCTGCCACGTGCCACTGTATTTTATGACCATAAATTGAGTTTTCTGATTTTTACCAGTCATAAGAGTTTGTGCTCTGAATTTGTTGGGAACTGTTTGGGCTCTTGTCTTGAAAGCAGGGAGACAATAGTCTGATACTGGGGATGGAAAAAATTCCTCATAGCTGGAATATTTTCACTGTGTTTATTGGTTTCCTGGTGTAAGCCATCAGTTGGTTAGCACACTCTAAACTGACAGTAAGTCTGTATATCAAGCATCTGATATATTTTTTTGTGTGTATTTTGAGGACCTTTCTTACGTGGTTAAAAATATCACATTCTGGGTCATGGTAATTCCCCTCTTTTACATTAGGGTTTTCTTTCCATATACAAGTTAACATAGAATATTCTAGAAGGTTTTAGAGCTTGAAGGGGATTAGAATTCATTCTCATCTCTGCATCACTGAATTTGGGACCTTTCGTTTTTTTTTTTTTCTTTGTTTTTTTTTTTAAAGATTTTATTTATTTGACACAGAGAGAGAAATCACAAGTAGGCAGAAAGGCAGGCAGAGAAAGAGAGGGAAGCAGGCTCCCTGCTGAGCAGACAGCAGGATACGGGGCTCAATCCCAGGACCCTGAGATCATGACCTGGGCTGAAGGCAGAGGATTCACCCACTGAGCCACCCAGGTGCCCCTGGGACCTTTAGTTTTCTAACCACATGTTAGATGGTCATTTCTAAGTAAAGTAGGGGCCTAATTTATTATCATCAGTGGTGATACCGGTTATCCAAATTGAGTAGCTTTTGTATTACTATCTTTTTTATTTTTAAAGACTTTATTTGTTTATTTGACAGAGATGCAATGAGAGAAGGAACACAAGCAGGGCAAGTGGAAGAGGGAGAAGCAGTCTTCCTGCTGAGCAGGCAGCCAAATGTGGGGCTCGATCCCAGGACCCTGGGAACATGCCCTGAGCTGAAGGCAGACACTTAACAACTGAGCCACCCAGGAGCCCCTATTGTATTACTCTCTGAAAAGAAATCTGTAAAGTATTAAAATACTGTATTTGTGAGAAAGTGTCCTGGACTCTACCTTAAGGGCCATAATTTAATTAGCAACACTGCGGCTTCTCCACCAAGAGGACCAGGATAGAAAGGGACCGGGGAATCGAAGTGTTGCCAGGACCTTGAGACCAAAGCATTTCACAAAATAGGTCCCACGATTAGTTTAGCCATTCCTTTTCTGAAAAGGTCAGACTTTCTTAGCTACTTAGCCACGCTCAGTAACTTTTTATTTCAAGCTGATGCCAGGGACTACCTTGATTATAAAAAAAATCACCAGGGAAAAAAAAAGAAAGATACTCTCTTTTTTATAAAAAGTAGACATAGCAATTCAAGGAACATCTTTCTTGTCTCCAAGCTGTTGGAGATAAATTCCTTTTATTTTTTATTTTATTTTATTTATTTATTTTTTTGATAAATTCCTTTTAAAGTCTAGTTCCAGTGCGAAAGGGTTGAGTGCATTTTAACTGGCAGCCTAAAATGTTACTGGCCTGTTTAGGCATAGAATCTGTTAATTGAAGATAATATTTCTTTTTTGTTGCTTTTGACCCTAACATACTGTTTGTAATAAATAACATTTTTTTTCCCCCCCAGTTAACTAGGCTGTAATACTGTAGCAGTGCTGGTTAACAAGTTGTTTATTTTTATCTGATGCGGACTCATGTATTTTAGAAATCCATGTCAACAAGTTTTTTTTTTTTTTTAAAAGATGTCCCTTTTATGCCACTTTGGACCCTTCTAGATTGTAGTAAATAGAAGTAAATAGAAGTAAGTGCGCCGGTAGCCTCTTTTACGCCCTTCATTTATTTTTGTGAACCTAACCATACATACTATATTCTTTCAAATTACTGTTCTCGGTGTGGTACATTATTTCCCTCTACTTTTAATCCTCCTGCCCACCAAATGGCTGGAGAGTTCGGTCTCTCTTCTTCTATCCACTTTATGAGACAAGGAGATATGCAGTAAATGGATGTTGGAAGAAAGTTCTGATGATCTCTTCTGCAGGGATGTTTTGGGAAAACACTACTCTGTTATTTAAAATAGTATTAAGGAGCCATCTTTATTCAGACACTTTTTATTGCATAGGACTTGTAGGTAAGACTCTGAAAGTTTACTGTTATTCAGAGTTAATTTCCATGTATATCAAGCTTTAGAACAGATAATTAATTCTGTAAATTTTTCTCTCTATGTTTTGCCTCCACCAGCATTTCAGTCAGCAGGACCTTTCTCAAGGTCCACACAGAAAAGGCTTATAGGTCAGTCTCCTTTTTCTCCTAGCTCTGGCTTTATATCCCTTCTCTTTCTTAGGCACCTCCGTTTACCTTACATTGCCTTTATAATTCAATAACTTTAGGGAGAGGTGGTGGGGAGCTTACGCTTAAACAGGGAACGTGATGAATTCATCCTCACTCCATGAAGTCTGTAAGTAAGGGAAATAAAAAGCAAATGCAGGGGGCACCTGGGTGTCTCAGTCGTTAAGTGGCTGCCTTTGGCTCAGGTCATGATCCCAGGCTCCTGGGATCGAGCCCCGCATCTGGCCCCTTGCCTGGGAGGAAGCCTGCTTCTCATCTCCCACTTCCCCTGCTTATGCTCCCTCTCTTGCTGTGTCTCTCTCTGTCAAATAAATAAAATCTTAAAAAAAAAAAAAAAGCAAATGCAGGTGTCCCTCAGTGGCCACTCAGGTTCTCGTCTTCACTGTCTGCAATCATTTCAGGACTTGCTCCGAGCTGTACAGACCAAAGAAGTCCTTGAAAGGGAAGTCAGGATCCTCCAGGAGAGGCTTTTGGCTGGCCAGCGGGTCTGGGATGATTCGAAGCAGGAGCTGAGCCTCCTGAAGAAAAGCTCCCAAGAGCTGGAGAAGAGACTGGAGACCAGTCTGGATGCGGCTGCAGCCTCGCGAAACCAGTGCTCCTCATTCAGGGAGAAAGTCGCAGCCCTGCTTAGAGGCAGCTGGGGCCCGACGGGGCCCACGGAGGATGCCATTTTGGAAAGGATCCGAGAAATGACCCGCCAGGAAGACAGCAGGGAAAGGGTGAGTGGGAGGTGGCCGCCTGTAAGATTCTTGAGGACAGTCATTTGCTGGGTCCTTCCAATGTGGGTTTTATTACTTTCAACTATATATCATACTTTGGGAGCCTGGAGTGTCACTTCAGTGACCACTGACCGTGATGTGGATTCTGGAGTCAGAGCTGCCTGGGCTCAGTCCCGTCCGTGCTGTGGACGCGCTCAGTCCAGGTGTGACACTGGCAGGTTCCTAAGACGGCAGCCCCTGAGATGCTGTTTTCTCATCCGCTGGACAGGGAAGGCTCCAGAGCCGCACCCCTCCCTCCTCTGAGCCACCCTCCTATCCGGGGGTCGTCTGTGTTTTTGAATTCAGAATGTTTTGGGGTTTCGAAAGGTAAAGTAGTAACACAGAAAGGCATTGGAGAGAGCGCACTTACACATTCCTCCTCACTGGGGTGTGGGCAGCACCTTGTAGTCAACCGTGTTCATGGTTCTGCAGCAAACCCCGCGGCAGCTCCATCCCTAGGAGCGTAGCAGGACCATGAGGAGCTCCGTGGCGCTTCTGGGTAGGGTTTGCTGCCCAGTCCGGTCCTGGCAAGCTTTATCATAAGCAAGTGAATTAGGAAAAAAGCCGTCAGTTTTCAGATGCTTTTGGGTTTTGGAATTGCAGACAAGGTTTCCTAGACCTGGAAGAGTATCTGCTTCAGAAAGCTATTGTTTGTTGGAAGCATTGAATGAAAAACAATTGTTATGAATTCCTTAACACGCTTCCTGGCCAGTAATGATGACAAATATTAACCCTTGGTGCCCCCGCTTCTCTTCCTCTCTGTCCTCCTCTTCATAATGGTGCCTGAACCGTCTTTTAAGGGACTTGTTGAAAACATGGAGCAAGATGTTTAAACTCACATATATGATCGAAGATTGCTTAATTTTCTTGTCTTGTTTATACTATTAACAATTCTCCTTTACTACATAGCTTTGCTTAGCAGAGTTAAGTTCAGCCTGACTCTGTTTAAATCACCATCAAATCCAAATGATCGAAGTCCTAATTAATGAGGTTTTAAAGTAAATAATATCCAGATTCTAGGTAGAATTCCATTGTGATCTTTTTCTTCAGTGAGTTCAGGCCGGTCCGAGGCAGAAGTTGTATTTTTCCCTCTTTTGATGTTTCTAATAACCCCAAGCCATCACTAACTTAGAGTTCAGGGTTGCATTTGACAATTTCCTTTAATGGTTAAACATTTTCAGTTCCTTTTAAAAATTCTCCAAAATTCAGGACACCTGGGTGGCACAGTTGGTTAAGTGCCCACCTCTTGGTTTCAGCTCAGGTTGTGATCTCAGGGTCGCGAGATCAAGCTTCAGGGTGGGACTCCCCAGTCAGCGTGGAGTCTGCTTTAGGGTCTCTCTCCCTCTTCCTCTGTCCCCCCGCCCCAGCTTTCTCTCTCTTTCTCTCTTTCAAATAAATAAATCAATCTTAAAAAAAATTCTCCAGAATTCATGTGTGTTCTTAGGAGCAACCCAAGTGACCCCTTTGTCCAAGTGTAGGATTGTCTTTGTGGATATGAAATGTCCATCCTGTGACATGTGCAGGTCTCTGAGAGTAGCTCAGTTTTTCTCGTGATTGGTACTGGACTGGAGAAGAGAATTATCTCCAGGACCAAGAAATACTTCAGTCGATTATTTACCTTGACTTGCGGTCGATCGAATTCAGTAGCTAATGGTTCTTTACCATTTTGTTTTATGGCTTCCCTCTTCTGTGTTCCCAAATGTTTTCCTCAAACTATTTTAATTCAGCATGTGAAACATGTCATGAAATTGTCAGCATGCTGTATATGTTTATTTTCTAAAGAAAAATGATGTAAATTGGTTAAGCTTGCTATGCCTCTCTCCCACCCCCCCAAAAATCAGAATGATTCAGAGTCTTTTTAGTGCCTTTGTCTGTCTCTTCTACCCTGTAATTTTTTTCAATAGCTGTTCCCACTATTTAAAAGCCTGAAATCAAGCATATAGCTGGGGTCTTATGTGACTCATCTTCGAGTAAAATTAGGAGAAAATGGATTTCATATATTGCCTTAGAAATGTTTCTGAAGAATGGGAGATTTACAAATTGATGAATCTGTTTGTTGAGGAGGCTGTGCTCCCTGCCAGCTGCCTTGGTTAGACACACACCCAGTGGTTGAGTAATAACCCACAGGAAGGCCCAAGGGTGGGTTCAGGCTGGGCCTGGCAAATTCACTGTTTCAGGTTGACTCCTACTTTCTGAACCTCACTTTTCTTGTTTACTTTGTTCCTGCTCATTTTGACTCTCCCCCGTGTTTGCAATTCTCAGTAGAATTCAGGACACCACCCACACTTTTTCAGTAAGTCACTTCTTCTTGTTCCTTGCTTTTCTTCTTATAGTAAAACTGAATTGTCTTTTTCAAAGTGTTGCCAGATCTTGGAGTAGGGTTTCTCGGTCTTGGCACCATTGACGTTTCTGGCTGGATAACCCTTTGTCGTGGGCCCATTCTGTACACTTTGTTCTGTACACTGCAGTGTTGAACAGCTTCTTCTCTGGCTTCTACCCATTAGGTATCAGTCGCACCATTTCCCCCCTCAATCTGTGACAGCCAAAGATGTCTCCATACAAATGTCCCTCAAGGGTAAGAGCACCCCCAGTTGGAAACCGTGCTCTTAGAGGAATGCCCTACCATTGGCTTCCAAGGAATTCTAAATGAGCATAGATGTTATTTAGCCTTGAAATTTCAGTACCCTTGTAGCAGGTGTTTTTGAAATAATGATGTCTTGCACAATGACAGAAAGTTGCGACATTTTCAGATTTTGGTGTGGAATTTCGAGGCAAACATTTTTCTCTTACTTTTAGATGTTTCCTAACTGGCTAACCATCTGGATGAGAAATGATTATGTACAGAGAGGACATGATCATGATTGATTCCTGTGTCATTTTCCAAGTTAAAAACAGTTCCTATAAGCTCACAGACTTTTATCTAGACAGCTCTTTCATTCTTCTTAGGCACACATAAACCTTTATTTCCTCCAGTGGAGTGTTTCTTGGTCCAATGACTCTGTGGGAGTCATGGGGATCAGGACCTGAGCTGAAGGCAGATGCTTAGCTGACTGAACTACCTGGGTGCCACAGATTATTTCAATTTGCAAGAGTGGTACTGAGTATTATCTAAATAATCTATTTTTTTCTTTTTCTCTTCTGAAACAAACCATCAAAACAAATCTATCATCCCAAACTTGGTATTTTTTATTGAATTCAACATTTCATGAAAAGTAGATTTGGTAGAATCAATTTGAGTATTCTCAGACTGTACCTGAGCTGTTTGGTAAACTGATGTTCTTGACTAAGGGAATATCAGGACAAAGGGAAACTTCAGGAAGGGATGGGCAAGTTAGGGGTGTGTGATGGGAATGGGGGCCTTCATGGAGAAACTGTGGTCTCTTTGTAGGAGAGGAAGTAGCAATCAGATTCTCCTGCCTTCTTGTATGTAAAGTTGCTATATGAAATTTGACCTCTCAAAGGCTAAAATGATAACATCAATGCTTAAGTATGTAGCACAGAGGCAACACCACCAGAGTTTGGTGCATAAGTAATCAATATTCCATGGAAAATTGAAAGAAAGCTTAAAAAAATCTTTATGTCCTTGAAATACTGATAAGTTTCCTATCAAAACTAACTCACAGGGACTCCTGGGTGGCTCAGTGGGTTGAGGCCTCTGCCTTCGGCTCGGGTCATGATCCCAGGGTCCTGGGATCGAGCCCCAAGTTGGGCTCTCTGCTCAGCGGGGAGCCTGTCTCCCTCCCTCTCTCTCTCTCTGGCTGCCTCTGTCTACGTGTGATCTCTGTCTGTCAAATAAATAAATAAAATCTTTAAAAAAACCACAAAACTAACTCACTGTATAATCTTTAATCCACTATATTTGGTGGAAGAGTTTCTCCAGACTATGACACTTAAAGAGGTCTAATAGTACTTTGTCTGAACTTTTTTTTTGTTCTAGCTGAACTTTGAAACCCCTAAATTAGTGGCAGTTTTAAGGGTAAGTCAGTATGATCATAAATATTTCTCGAGGAACCTGTTTAAGGAATTATATAAAAATTAAAAATGCCAATAGAAATACTTTATTAGACAACGAATGCAGATTTATTTCCAGGAGAGGAAAAGACTGCTATCAAATTATATGTTTTTTAATTTAATTTTTACAAAGAATCTGGAAGTTGGTGTTATAGTTATGTTGCTCTGGCTGAGCACTGGATTTTAACACTTTGTTGCATCGAAAACAAGGCTTAGCCTTGTCTGTTTCTTTGTTTCCAGATGGTCTCCCAGCTTGAAGTCCGAATATCTGAGCTTGTGGAACAGTTGGGAAATGAATCTGGGTTTCACCAGAAAGCTTTACAGAGAGCCCAGAAAGCAGAAAACAAGTTGGAAAGTCTTCAGGGTCAGCTGACACACCTGGAGGGAGAGCTGGTTTCTGGAGATGTTTTGCGAGATCACTTGAATTTTGAGAAACAAAAAGTAATAACCCGACGGTATATCCATGGGTAGAAACATCTGTTGCAGTGTAAAATTTTACCTGAAAATATTCCGAATTTTATAGCACTTTAGTGGAATGTGTGTGAGTAATGAGGAAATGTCAGAAAACAACAGATATCATTTTGGGGGGAGGTCTTCCTATTTTGTGGGGGCTTTTGTCAGTCAAATTAATCCAGGTAAACTCATCAGATATCTGTTGAATGCCTATTCTGTTTGAGGGCTAAGGTACGAATGACCCATAGTTCTTGATCATAAAAGGCTCATCATTCGATAAAGGAGGCTGGCATTCTGGTAATTTGCTGTGACGCTGAAGCTGTAGGTGTTGTAAGAGATGGACTGATTGATGAAACACTGTAGGAACTCAGTGAAGGGAATGATAGCCTCATCCCTTAGGGAATGATAAGAGGAGGATTTTCACAGGAGAGAAAATAATGCAGTTCACCCTTGGAGGAGAAGGCAGGTTTTAGTGGAGAGAAGGAGCAGATCCTGTAGGGCTAAGAGGTTGGGCGGAGGCATGAGAGCTTGTAGGTGCATCACGAGGTCAGAGTGCAGAGCGATTGTGCCCGCTTGGCTGCAACATGGCACCCCGGCTGGGGTTGTGACAGGAGAGAAGACTAGAGTGGTTTGGATACAAAGATTCTTTATCTCTGCTCTGTAGAATACGGAGCGTAGTAAGTGACTTTGAGCGTTGCTCTGTTTTAGAAAGAGGATATGATGTCGCCCTGAAGCTGAAGTTACGTATAGACAGCCTTGGAACTGTTAATGGCACTAACCAGTGAGCGAGAAGAAGGATGGAGTGAGGAGAGGAGGGGCCTCCACTTGTAGTAGAGTGATGGAGAACAGAGGCCAGTTTGCGCTGGCCTGAGGGGTGAGTCGGGAGGGAAGACTAGAAATGTAGAAAAAGATTCTTACGAAGTCTGGTGACCAGGGAAAAAGAGACAGGCAGCAGGAGGACCAGAGAAAGGTTTTATTGGATGGAGTGGGAAGGTACATGTTTGTGGGTCCCAGGAGTCCGCAGAAGAAAAAGACAAATGGGATTGGAATTTGGCACAAAGACACTCTTCGGTTACAAAATCTGTACCTTGGAAGTCATTCATTCTCATGTTTCTGTACTTAAGCTGAGGAAGCATTGTGCCTGCACTGAGGTTGGCTAGGCAAAGACGCATAAGGGGTCTGTGGGAAATCCTCATCTAAGTGGATGGCCCAGGTCAATGAAGGCACAATCATTAATTAATGGAGATAGGTGTAAAATTCAACAGGAACTTGGGCAAAGTCCCTATTTCTGTGTGTGAGGAAAGGAGCCCTCTTCACACAGGAAGTGACATTCATGAGAGGCTTTGAAGAATGAGTAAGAATTTGTCAGGCAGAAGAAGTGGGGAAGGGACTCGGTACAGGGAACAGCAGGAGGGAGAAGGAACAGAGGTTTGCCAGACTGCTTAGGAGACAGTGAGGCATGGGGAGACTGAATGTGGTGCGTGGTGAGGCCAGAGGCATGAGGAGGCTCTAGAAGCATGTAGGAATAATTGGGATAGACAAGGTTAATTTCCCAAAGCTTTATCCAATATGTAATGGGACACCGTAGGTTTTTGAATAGAAGAAAGTAAAAGAAAGAAAGGGTTTTGAGTCTCTGAAAGCAGACTGGCTCTGAGGGTCTGGAGGCCAAAGGTAGAGTGCCCAGCTGAAGGATTCTTAGAATAGTGTAGAATAGAAGCTAATAAATATTTGGACCAAATAGTGGTTTTATACATGAAGGGGTAGATTGAAGATGTTGGGATGGGTGAAGGGTACCTGAAAAAGGTGTGTTGGTTGAAATTTTGAATTTGAAAGGACATGTTGCACCTGAATAGAATATGTCCCATTGGAAGAAGTCTGTCGGACTGTCCACATAGATGTCCCACGTACACCTGGCACTAAATCTATTCCAAATGGAAACGATCACCTCTCCACAGATTTGCCCCCTCCTGCCTCCAGGTGCCTGAGCCAAAAGCCCTAGAGTCATCCTTAATGCTTCCCTCTTTTTAAGCAAGTGCTAAACACTACAGATTCCATCTCCTTAATGTATCTCAAATACCACCCCCCCAACTCTGTATTTGGTAGCAGTGCTTTAACTCGGAGCACTATGATCATTTGCATGGATTCCAGAAACAACCTTCTTACGGTTGTGATGTCCCTGGAAGCAATGTCTTAATAAATGTATGCCTAATCTTGCCTCTCTTCATCTTCAAACTGGCCAGGGGCTCTCTATGGCCCTCAGGCTCAGCTACAGATTCCTTCTCGCCTTGGCTGAGCATTCTGTGACCTGACCAGGTCCCCCCCACCCAGCGCCCCCCGCCCCCGCCGCAGGCTTCCCATCACCTGCCATCTTTCCACCTGACGGTGGCAAACTCAAGGCCTCCAGGGACCAACAGGGCCCTTCAAGGGTGTGTGGGGATTGAGTCCAAAGATATCCAAATTCAAATTTGTTAAAAAAAAAAAAAGAGGGTCCCCTTGGCATCCCATATTGCACACTGCTGTTCTCTTTGAGAGAATGTTCCCCTTATCTCCTTCATCAGGTAGTAGCTGTCCCTTGAAGAACTGCCTCCAGTGTCACTTCCTCTGGGAGTCCCTTAGAGACTTAGTTCTCCGTCGTGTAACACATGCCCGTGTCTGTCCCAGCACTTAGTGACTCGATTGCCTTCAGGTGTTTTTTTTTTTTTTCCCCCCAGATTGTTTATTTATTTATTTGAAAGCGAGCATGTGTAGAGGGAGAGGGAGAGAGAGTTAGCATGGAGCCCATCGTGGGACTTAAGCTCACGACCCTGAGCTGAAACCAAGCGTTGGACGCTTAACTGACTGAGCCACCTGGGCACCTTCCCACCCCTTCTTCAGTTTTTAGTCATCTTCTCCAGTCAACTCCAAGCTTCTTGAGGCCAGGGGAATATTCTTTTTTCTTTTTTCTGGGTTTCTCCAGCACTTAGGGAAGAGTTAAATAAATAGTATTTAAATTATGAAGAAACACAATAAAAGGCAAAAATTATAGGTAGATTGGGGTCTCTTCCCCCCCTTTTTAAAAATCATTGTAGTGACTCGTTAATTTTCATTGAGACTGAAGAATCAAAAGAACTCTCAGTTATGAAAGCGAATTATGTAAACAGATTCTATCCTGCTGACTGTTGTGCAGGTAACCACCCACAACACGCACCTCCTAGTGAGGGGTTGGGTGTATAAACCAGAAAAGCTAAGTTGTACAGAGCTGAGATTTAGATGTAGGTAACTGATGCTCATGCCACATAGAAGGTATCTAGGCTAATCTGTGATTCAAAGAAACAAGCTGTACAGTAAGTCCCCTGGCAACCCTCGCTTTCTGAGGCCTAGCCAAGATCCTTGAAATGGTCAGTTGCTCTGTGTGGTGTTGGCTTGGTCCGGTCTTCAACCTTTTTTCCTGGTAGAGATCCTTGCACGCTAAGTGGATGGGTCACATGTAGACATAGCAAGAGAGGCTTTATGCCTCCGCACGAAAGGTACTGATTCTATTTTACTTACAAAACAAACAATAGCAGTTATTTTCTTTTCATTCACACACATTAGAAATGAGTAATTCCGGGGGCGCCCGGTGGCTCAGTCTGTTAAGCGTCCAACTCTTGATTTCAGCTTAGGTCATGATCTTAGGGTCATGAGTTGGAGACCCATGTTGGGCTGCACTCTGTGCATGGAGTCTGCTTAGGTTTCTCTCTCTCCCTCTGCCCCTTCTCCCCAACTTGTGCACACACACACACACTCTCTCTCTCTCTCAAAAAAGTAATTCCAAGGAGAGAGCTGACACAACATTAAAAAGTGACAAATTGATGATGTGATCTTATAGCACAACAAAGTAACCCATGGTCTTGTAACACAGCCAATAAGCAGTATTTTGCCATGACTGTGCCTCCCAAAGAAGAGATAAAATTTTAGATATGCCATTCAGCAAAATTTGAAAATACTCACAATTTCATCTTGATGACTCAAAGTGTAGATAGCTCTGGGCTTAATGTTGGCATGCCTCAGTCCTCAGGAAATTATACTTATTTAAACATATAATTGCCTCAAAGATGCCAGATAGATGAGGACTTATTGCAATGAGAATCAAGTTTCAAAGAGAGAATCCAAATCATGAAGTGATGATACAGAAAACTCATTGATTGGTTCACTAATTCAGCAAGCACTTAGGAAGCATTACTCTGGCTGGGATGGCTAAAAACCACAGAAATCAAATGGAGGATACAAAAAATACCGATTCATGGTTTGTCTCTCTCTCCGATTTACCCCAATTCACTTTTCCTTTTCTTCTCCTAATGTCCTCCATGTTTGTTTTGGAGGGGATGGGGGTGGGAGGATGGGTGAGCCTGGTAGTGGGTATTAAGGAAGGCACGTATCGCATCGAGTACTGGGTGTGGTGCATAAACAATGACTCTTGGAACACTGAAAAAATAAAGTAAAATTTAAAAAAATACTGATTCGAATGGATACTTGCATTCCTATGTTTATAGCAACATTATCAACAATATGGAACAAAAATTATGGGAAGAGCCCAAATGTCCATTGACTGATGAATGGATAAAGAGAATGTGGTGTGTGTGTGTGTGTGTGCGCGCACGCACGTGCGTGTGTGTGTAACAATATTACTCAGCCATAAAAAGAGTGAAATCTTGCCATTTGCAATGACATGGATGGAGCTAGAGTGTACTATGCTAAGTGAAATAAGTCAGTTGGAGAAAGACAAATACCAATTGATTTCACTCATATGTGGAATTTAAGAAATAAAATAGATGAACATAAGGGGGAGAAAAGAGAGACAAACTATAGAACAGACTCTTAATTATAGAGAACAAACTGAGGTTTCCTGGAGGAGAGGTGGCTGGGGGATGGGCTAGATGGGTGATGGGTATTAGGGATGGCACTTGTTGTAATGAGCACTGGATGTTGTATGTAAGTGTCGAATCTAAATGTAGAATGTAAATTCTACTCCTGAAACCAATCTTACACTATATGTTAACTAACTAGAATTTAAATAAAAACTTGGAAGAAAGAAAAAGGAAATCAAGTGACAGAAGATCCTAGAACAGTTTTGTGACACTAACCTGTTCAAAGATGAACCTTGACTTCCCTGATACAGCTCTATTTTACCCTGTTATTCCTTAAAGTACAAAACATTAAAAACTCTTAAAAGACATTTTTTTTTGGTGTATGTGTGTAGGATTTTAAATATGGAAGCAAAAGCATTGTCCAAGTGTATTTGTATGGAGAGCTTTGATTATGGAGTGATCAGAGTGGTTAACTGTTGTTATTTTTTTTTTTTTTTCACATTTGAGGGCAGGGCCCACTTAGGTGGGAAAAATTGCCATGGAACGTGAGTAGATCCCAGGAGCTGGATTAACCTAGAAGGGGCATCGTGGTAGCAACAAGTAGCCAAAACAGAGACATGTGGATGTAGTCAGAACGGTGCCAGATTTGTCATGTGGTGGGGTGAAGAAGAGTGTCTACTGTTAGGTTGGATATCAAGATCACTGACCAGGAGAGTCAAGTGAATTTGGACACGAAGCAGGACATGGAACTGGCATGATGGTACAGAAATTCATTCCCAGGCACTGGGGTCCCAGGCTGGGCTATAGAGTAGGTTTAATGGGACCTGTCTATAAGTTTGGGGTACTGTGAGATCACTTGTTAACTTTGTTTTTGTGTCTCAATTTAATTTTATTTCTTGGGTTTAGTATCTTAAATTTCTGGATCAACTCTCAGAAAAAATGAAACTGGACCAGATGGCTGCTGAACTTGGCTTTGACATGCGTCTGGATGTAGTTTTAGCTCGCACGGAACAGCTGGTCCATCTCGAGAGCAATGCAGTCATTGAAAACAAGACTATTGCCCACAATTTACAGAGAAAGGTAGGGGATATTGAAACTTGCTGGTGCTGAGAGAAGGAATCGCAGAGAGACTTAAATATTGAAAAATAATGTACTCCTTCCTATTTGCAACTGTAGTTAGGAAACATACAAATACATATTTAGAATTTGAGTCTCTGTTTCAAGTCTGAGGGACGGTAAGTATATCAGCTAAGGTGATGTGTGACCATGAGTAATAGAGATCCCAAATAAAAGTGACTTAAATGACATGAAGTGGTCCCTCCACCTCACATAAATTTCTGGAGGTAGGCGGCTCAGGGTAAGTGTGGCAGGTCTGCTCTGTAAAGTTTTCAAGGAGCCCAGCTGATTTTAGTCCATTAATCTCCCATTCCTGGGGTGGTCCACATCCTGAAGGTTCATAATGGTACCTAAAATCATCATGTCTGTGTTCCAGACAGAAATTTAGAGCAGAAAGGGATGAAGAGGAGGGATGCAATAGAGCATGTGTGAGCAGTCTTTTGATGGAGGCTTCTAGAATTTTCTATGTGAACTTGTATTTATATCACATGGTTCTGAAGGCTGAAACTAGCTGCAAGGGAAGATGGAAACTGTAGTCTTTACTCTGAGTAGCCACTTGCCTTGCTAAGAAACTGTTTATATTCTTAGATGAGGAGAGCTGGGGAACATGTGACAGTCTCCAACTGGATAAATCCTCTTGCATTGGATAGTAAAGTGAGGAGAAAAGCTAATTTTTCACTCATTCTAAAGAAGAGTTAGAAACAGTTTAGATGAAATAAATGAATGGGTGTATGAAAGGGTAAAAATCTAATTACTATATAATTATTGGCGTTGGTGAAAGAGAGCAAAACGCAGATGTGTTCTTGTAATAGTTCTTAGGAGAAAATTCTGTGATGGAATTATAGCATACAGGCTGTGTAATGAGTCACATCTTGAATCCCAGTTTGGTTCCACCAAGCTATGTGACCGTAGACAAATTACATAGCTCTCCCTGTTTCCGCATATTTAAGATAGGTATAATATCTTCCTCATAAGATTGTTCATTTTTAATAAAATACATGTTTAAACTCTTGGCTTATAGACTGTACCTATTCACATTTGACCTTTCTCCATTTACTAGATTTTTAGGAGTGTTTTATTTTAAAAAAGCAGTAACCCTATTATCATTGGAAACATTGAATTGAGCTACTGTTCTTTGGGTTCTCCTAGAAAATTGATTTCTTCAAAACCATTCCTTCTTAACTATTGTATAATCATTACAATTAACACTATTAAGTATTGTATAATCATTAAAATTACCAGTCTACAGACCTTACCAGTGTAATTTTGCAGTAGAGTGGATTTGACATGAAGAAGCTCAAAGAAGGAAATTTGGTTAGAGAACATGAAAAGGGCCTTGTTAAGGATGGATCTGGTCTGGACCATGCTGTCACAGTTAGACAAGATGTACAAGCCTGTGTTTCCGTTTGCCCTTCATGTCTCCGAACACTTCACAAGTGTGGAGTATATAATTAGGGAAAATGCGACACTCTTCAGCTCTAACATTCTAGAATTCTAAACGATTCTAATGTCCAGTGTGCGCAGCAGATGAAAGAGGTTCCCGTACTTAATATTCTACTCACTAATTGTGACATTTGACGCCTAGGAGGACGTTTTCCCCCCTTAGGGTCCATAATCTTTTTCTAAAAACCACTGTGATTTCCTTTATCAAGTTTGACTGTGAGTGGTAAGTGCTGTTTGAAGAACTTGTTCTCTGCTTGGTTTGTGGATGGTATAGGCAAGGTATATAATAAAGATGCCAATGAACTAAAAACCTTCTTAAGGCCCTTCTTTTTAAAAAATATTTTATTTATTTATTTGACAGACAGAGATCACAAGTAGGTGGAGAGGCAGGCAGAGAGAGAGGAGGAAGCAGGCTCCCCATGGAGCAGAGAGCCCGATGCAGGGCTCAATCCCAGGACCCTGGGACCACGACCTGAGCCGAAGGTAGAGGCTTTAACCCACTGAGCCACCCAGGCGCCCCTTAAGTCCCTTCTATTTCAAAGATTTTAAACATATAAACCAAGCTTTTTTTAAACTCTCCCTTGTATAGCTTACTTTAAAAATATACCGACTCTCATGTTTGATGTCACTCAGTCTAGTTCTACAGGATTGAAATTACTCAGTCTAGGTTTTGAGCACTAACCTGCATTCTGGCTTCTTTTAGAAAAGGCCAGTATAAGTATAGTTGGCTTGGGGTGGTGGAGAGGATTTTGTCTCTCTACCATATTCTGGTCTTGATAAGCCCATTTTAGTCATTTAAAAAGCAATTTTATGTGCCTATTATGCTGCACGTATGTTGGAGGGAATCCGATGTTGAAAGCCTACTTCCCTCTGTATCTTCTGTGCCTCCTTTGTCTCATCCTTGCAGCTACAAAATTAATTCTTGGAAAAATAGGAATAAAAAATGCAATCAGGGAAAGGAATCCAATAACCTTTTTGGGCAGTTTACAGATGAGTCTTATTGAAGTGTAGATAAAGAACAACATGGTCCGAGTGATTCATTTTTATTTACTGATTGTCCAATGATTATTATTATTTTTTAAAAATCCCCGTTTGTACCAAATCAGCTCAGGACTCAGAGAGAAAGGCTGGAGAGCAAAGAACTACATCTGAGCCTTCTACGGCAGAAGGTGGCCCAGCTGGAGGAGGAGAAGCAGGTGCGCTCGGCCTTGGCCGTGGAGAGGGACGAGGCCAATCTCACTCTAAGAAAGTTGCAGAAGAAGGTGGAGAGGCTGCAGAAGGAGCTAAGTGTGTGTCGAGAAGCGAACACGGAGCTCAGAGCCAAGCTGGCTGACACCAGTGAGCTCAAGGCAAGTGCTCGGCTTGGTTCCCTTGTTGCTTTTTGCAAGTTACCATTTTTAATTTATGTGGAAGAGTGGAAGTCTTTTTTTTTTTTTTTAAAGATGTTATTTATTTATTTGACAGAGATCACAAGTGAGCAGAGAGGCAGGCAGAGAGAGAGGAGGAAGCAGGCCCCCCGCTGATCAGAGAGCCCGATGCGGGGCTCGATCCCAGGACCCCGGGATCATGACCTGAGCCGAAGGCAGAGGCTTTAACCCACTGAGCCACCCAGGCGCCCCGAAGAGTGGAAGTCTTATAACAGATGCAGCAGAATAGAAACAGGGACAAAAGCTTCCTCTGATTTTCTAGAGTCCTGGGGGAAAGGCAAAAGCTACACAGATCGGCATATTAGATCAGCACAGCGTGTCTTCGATAGTTGGAATGAGACCGTGGTGGCTGCGTGAAAAGTCGGTCAGAAAAGGGTGGTGTCAGCGGAGGGGATGGAGAGGCCACGTCCTGGGGTGAGCACCGACTAAGACGTGGAAGTGTGGAGTCACTGTGTCATACCTCTGAAAGGAATAGAACACTGTCTATTAACTCTCCTGGAATTGAAAGAAAAGGAGGGGGTGGTGCAAACTACAGAAAATAGAAGCATTTCTTCCAAGGGTGGGTGACTGGTACTTGGGATCCTGTAGGGAGTGATCGTGTAGGAATTTGCTTAGGAAGAATTGAGCAAATGATCCCAGCTCTTCACTGGGAAGAGTCAGGCGGGCAACTGGTGTTTCAGGAGCTGCTGGAGAAGCCTTATCCCCAGAAGTGAGGAAGGTACCCAGGTCAGGGCAGTGTGCATCCTGGATTTCAAGCGTTCCCCTTCTAATCACTACAGAGAAGAAAGGAATTAAAACGTAAACAAATTTAATCAAAATCTTTAAACATCCTGTGTGCGTGTGCCCCTGGAACGTATATGTAACTCCACAGGCACAAACCAGTTCTGGCAGATATGCGTGTTGGGAATACAGATGGGAATAACGTCCTGGCTCTTTGCAGATAGCGCTCTAGACTGGGCTTCTGGAATGTTTCTGAGTCTGGAAACAGACCAGGAGGGAAAAGGAACCTGGCATTAAGCTAGCACTTAAATATATGTGGCGGGGACAGTATTTTAGGAAGTATTTCCTGTTCTATTTTTTTATTTTGAGTCATTAGCTCTTTTCCCCTGAAGCCCTTTTGAGTTGAAGCTTATTTACCTAGAGGAAAAAAAAAGGGCAGACACAGGCCGGGGGAAGGAAAGCAGGAAGCAAGGGAAAGGATGTGATGGGGTGCAAAATGTGGGGAGAAAATATCAAGTATCTTCCACACCCTTTCACACCTTGAGACTGATCTTGGGGGGGTGTTGGGGTAGGGGGTCAGCAAGCCATTGCTCCCACCCTGGCTGGAAGGGGCTGCAGGGGGAGCTGAGGCAGCATCTGTGTTGTAAAGCCGGGTGTTCAAATGTCCTGTGGTGGACATAACGTGTTTCTAGTTGGCGTATGGCAGGGCATTATATAATGTTGAGTCCTAAAGTGAAAAATGGGTTCCCTTTGGTTTTCTTCTTCCAGTTCTTCCCATTGTCAAGGAAGAAATCTTGATTAGAACTTATTAATGTCTTTACTACTATTATTGCTATACCCCTAGCCTTAGGCCTTGGAAGAATCTGTTCTATTCATTGGCTTCCTTGTTGAAGGAGAGATGACAATAGTTCCCATAACTGGTGTTCAGTAGGCAGGTAGAAAAACATAGACGAGGCATGATAAATAAAGTGAACTTGGATTTCAAAACCAGGAGGTAAATTCAGTCATAAAGAAAGGACATGTTTCATTGTAAGTGGGTGTTAAGGGAATAGTTCAAATTCCTCAAATATATCTGTGATAGGAAGGAAGGGGAAACAGCACTGGGGATTTTCATACTCCAAGCTTCCGGAGCTCCACGAAGCCAGGGGGGTAGAGAATGACATGGAGCAGTCTGGGTGGTTACTACGGATGACTAAGTTGGGGGGGACACCGGGGAGACCTGATGCCTCCGGGTCTCTCCAAGCAAGGACCCGAGCAAGGATTTCCTGAGACCACTCTGTGTTTCAGAAACAAGGTTTGACTGGTGCTGGGAGGTACCCTGTGGGCTGCCTGGCTTCTTTCCCCCGGTTCCCTCCAGCCTGCTGCTACCCTTCTCCTATAGTGCACTCTTCTGTGCTCAGGAAAAATTAAGAAGCTTAATTTAAAAAGTCAGGGTTGACTTCATCTTGCTCTTTATTTTACTGCTAACGTCGTTGTGAAATCTGCATGGGTTGGGTCTCTGAGCATCCCTTCTCCCTAACCGGATCCCGCTGGGCTCTTTCCATCCACCCATCCCCATATCTCAGAGACCCTTGCTTCCCCCCATGCTAGAGGCCTGTGTTGCTTTTGCCAGTTTCTAAGAACTGAGATTCCATCTCTGAAAGACATGGGCTGGGCCGGGACAAAGGGCTGTCTGGACTCTGTGACATTTACTGGAAGGTTCCAGCTAGCTCTCTGCATGTGGCCAGTTAACATAAAGCTAAAATAGAATAAAGCCCGGTACAAATGTTAGTTGCCATTGTAGCTAATTCTTTTTTTTTTTTTTTTAGATTTTCATTTATTTATTTATTTGACAGAGAGAAAGAGAGATCACAAGCAGGCAGAGAGTTAGGCAGAGAGAGAGGGGGAAGCAGGCTCCCTGCCGAGCAGAGAGCCCCATGCAGGGCTCGATCCCAGGACCCCGAGACCATGACCTGAGCCGAAGGCAGCGGCTTAATCCATTGAGCCACGCAGACGCCCCACCATTGTAGCTAATTCTGTCACTCCTGGGGGGGGGGTGGGCAGTTTGTCCTGAGGGGCTGGACGAGGCTTTAGGATTACCACACACGTCAGGAGTCTGAGAAAGCTTGGCCTGCACGGGGCATGGCAGCTCACAGTGCAGGAGCCAGCGAGGTGCCGATGGAAGAAGGGATCCCCCATGGGCGATGCCCAGGCACAGGGCCCGGCACCTGCTGGGGGAGAGTGGAGAAAGAGTGGCTTTGGAAGTGGGGCCCCTCCTGGTGAATGGCGGTCTGGGGACCACTTGGGGGTGTGGCTTCTGAGGAGGGCGTTTTCCAGGCTGAGTATATGGAGAGAGGCACTGGGACCCGGAGCCAAGGTGGCCCTATAACCCGCAAATGGTGCTGCAGAGAGAGAAGCCCACACTTTCTGTAGCAAAAGGGGGTCAACAGCTGGTGGGGACTGGGCCTGGCATCTGAAAAGTGTGTTCGCGTTTGGCCGCAAGGACAGCTGCCTCACATCTACCCCCTGTTCTGCCTGGATTATGATAATTCACCTGCCAGTGGTCTCTCCACGTAACCTTTCACAAGCAAGCCTGACGCTTGGAATGAAGCTTTGCTCTTTGGGTGACGGGATTGTGCAATGTGTAGTTCTGGTGATAGTGTCAGGCTTAACACTTTCTTCTTCTGGGGTCATTGGGGTAAAGCGAAGCTTTCGAGTGTGGGGCACACAGCTCTGGGGGCATATAAAATGCTTCTAGGTGCTTCAGGATAGGTCACTATAGAATGTTCTGTCGTGAGGTAAAAAATGGGTGCCCTTTTGTTTTTCTTCCAATTCCTTCCTTCCTTCCAATTCCATTTTCTTCCAATTCCAACTCCTTATCAAGGAGAAAATCTTAATTAGAGGTTATTATGTCTTTATGCCCCTAGAACATTTACTAGTCTCCATTTTATTTATTTATTTTAAAGATTTTATCTATTTATTTGAGAGAGAGAGAGCGAGCGAGCATGAGTGGGGGAGAGGGAGAAGGAGAAGCAGACTCCCTGGCGAGCAGGAAGCCCAATGTGGGGCTCGATCCTGGGACTCTGGGATCATGACCTGGGCTGAAGGCAGACACTCAACCCACTGAGCCACCCAGGCACCCTGCTAGTCTACATTTTAAATAAAGAAGAAGCCTTAAGCTCAGCGCTGGGTACAAGGAATAGTATCTAGAAATACTGTTTTGTTTTCATTGTACAGTGGGTTTTTTCTTTCTTTAAAAAATTTTTAATTCCAGTATAATTAAGATATAGTTATATTGGTTTCGGGCGTATAAGATAGTGACCAACTATTCCATACATGACTCAATGCTCCTCATGGTCATTGTACAGTTTCTGTTTTATTGTTATCTTCCAGTCGTGGCAAATTCTACTGGAATCCTACAAAATTCCTTTTCATAGAAATAAATTAGGTAAGTTCAAAAGATGGTTGACTTAAGGAAAGGAATGATGACCATAGGTGATACGTGGATATGGGAAAAATTGTGTACGTTTGATGGGAGTAACTGAAGTATAGACAAGTAGATTGGAGAAGGGAATGATACCAGTGATAACCAGATGCATTCAGCAGGCGAGCAGAAGCTCGGTCGTTTGCTGCTGGCACCATGCTGATGTCCAGAGGCGGGGTGGGGGAAGAAGAAGCTGGGCAGTGGACAGGGGCCAGGGTGTTGTGTGTCTCCTGAGATGCTTGGACTTGTCCTCTGGGCCCTGGGGAGCCATTGAAGACTTTCAGACAGGAGAGGGAAACCATCAGGGAAGAGACTAAAAGGAAACAGAGAGAGACAAGGGAGGGAGAACAGGGGGTCTCTATAGTGAGGCTGTAGCCAATAGCATCAAGTATAGTGGTAAGGTAGAGGGGGAATGGCTGTCTCCTGCCCTTGGTATTGGGACACCTCGGACTCAAGCACGTGTAGTAGACTGTAGCGGTCCTGGGTGACCATTGAGAATAGGTCAAGTTCCAACATGCTGAGGGATGAAGGAGAAGTGGAAACAAAAGTCAGTGGTCAGCTCTTCTGGAATATTTAGATGAAAAGGGGAAGAGTTAGGAAAGTAAATAAAGTTGGCTTGTGTGTTTATTTGCTTTATTTTGCGTAAAGAGATCCACTTCTTAAAAAAAGATTTTATTTATTTGACAGAGATCAAGTAGGCAGAGAGGCAGGCAGAGAGAGAGAGAGGGGGAAGCAGGCT